TTTTTTTTTTTGCATAATTATTTATATTTAATATCACAAATGATTTTTTTTCAGTAATTTACTAATTAATTTCTTATATCGACTATGTTAAACTACATTCATAATACTTTGTATCAGACAACTTTAGCCAATTTTTTTTATCATTAGTAAGTATTATTGGTGACCTCTTAATTATATACTTAAATATATAACTTAGTTCGTGATTTATTGTCATAAGAAGAAGCAACATTGGTGGTAGGAATCTCGTGAATACTATCAAAGAGTTCTACATTGAAAATGTAATTAATTATATTATGGCATTTAAAATTAAGAGGACAAACTTTAAAATTAGTACTAAAGAAGCCATGAAACCAATTTCTCAAAACAGCATGTCATAAACATTTTAAATTTCTAATAAAAAAATATCCTTTTAAAATTGAAACCGTGTTCCATGAGGAAAGCCTTTAAAGGAAAGGTTTATAGGAAATAAATCAAGAATTTTTTTAATAAAAATTGATAATATAAATCTAACCCTACTTTACATTACACCATTAACCTATATTTTAATTACAAATAGGCAATGGACCACACATTTTATGCTCACTAGTACAGGCGTTAAACAGCACTTCACATTGGCATTACTTTTTTATTTTTTTTCAAATCACTTATTTACACTTTACATATTATTTTTTATAATTAATATTTAAAAAAATTACTTTCAATTAATATTCTTTATAATTATCAAAATTTTATTTACACCCTAATTTTATTAATAATTTTAAGTTTTTTTATATAAATTTTAAATTATAAAAATATTAATTACATAAAAAATAATGCATAAAGTAAAAAAAAAAAAAGAAGAAGAGGGGGTTTAGCTTTTTTTTCTTTTTTTCTCTCATTTCATTCGGCATCATTTATTTATGGTTAAATCCTAATTTTGATCTCTTAACTTTAAAGTATTGTACAATTTTCATCCCTCAACTTTTTTTGCACTTTTTTGGTCTTTCAGCTATAAAAAAGATATTTTTTTAGTTATTTTGTCAGTTAATTAATTAAATTTGTTTAAATATGCACATTTTTAGTCCCTTAATTTAAAATTGAGGGATGAAAAACGTGCATATATTAAAAGTTAAGGAGCTAAAAATGTGTATATTTAGATAAATTTAAAAGATTAATTGACGAAAGGACTAAAAAAAATACATTTTTTCATTGTTTTAAGGTTCGGCTCGACCCGATCGGTTGAATCGATTCAACGACACCCAGGCTTGAAAACAAGCCAAATACACCCTTCAACCCGTTTTGGCATTTGGCCCGCTCCACCCATTTAACCCGTTCCACTCGTTGAACTAATAAGGCTACACCTCATCTCCTCAATTAACTCTTTTTTTTCATTTTCATTTTCAAGGTAATATACCCATTTTATCCCACCTTTTTAATATTATTACATAAAAAAAAACCTTAAAATTCAATTAAGATAAGATTAAGAAACCCTAATTGAAGGTCAAAATTGAAAAAAAAAAAAAAGAAAAAAAAAAGAAGAAAACTATACTCGGCAATCCAAAAAAACTACAGAAAATAGAAAGAAAAAGAAAGTTCAAGAAACATAACAAACCCTCCTTCCTCCACCTTCCTCCTTGCTCTTAACCACCACCGTCAGTAACCCTTTCCAGCCCTTCACGGCTCATATTCCTTACTGTCCTCCATCGAACAACAACAACTTCTCCTTCACTGAACAAAGCAGCAGCAGCAGAACATATCTGCATTTGCTCTCCACCACCATCAGTGGTAGCCTTTTTCAGCCCTTCATGGCTCATCTTCCTTGCCTTTCTCCACCAAATTCACTTTATCTTGGAATTTGAATATGATGAGAAGAAACTTTGTAGGGAGCAATAGACCAAATTGAGTTGAAAGGAATAACAACCCCATAAATGGACATCACGTCGCCTTTGACCTTCGTAACACGGTGGCCTTTTTTGTGTTCTTAGGCGGTTCCATGTTCTGCCTCTTGTCAAGCAGCATCTGCCACTTGTTCTCCTGCCATTCCCATTACCTCAACCTTCTCCTCCTTCTAAGAATAGACTACACTAGCATCATCGTCATGATCATAACATCGTTTTTCCCTCCAATTTACTACATCTTCCAATGCGAGCCCCACTAGCATTTCGTCTACCTCAATGGGATCACCGCCATGGTGTAAGGATAGGTCCGAGATGCCAAGCCTCAGACTGCTACAGTAATTCCTTTATGACCGAAGTGAGGAATAAATCCAAAGCTTCCCGCTCAAATGGCTGCATGACAAGGACAATAAGCATGCCCGCACCTGATCCCTTACGATGAGTGGCACAGCAAGTATGGTGGATGCTTGTGCATCTGGATACCCCTCAAATTCCCGGTCTCGGAATAACCGTCTGGAGGGACACGTCAGGCTCCGATTATCTTGCTTGGCATGCCACGTGGGTTCTTCATTGGATCCTATAAATACCCCCCGGGTCACGTTAAAAAGGTAATTGAAACCAACCCTAAGCTCTTTTTATCTTCGCCCAAAAGGTAGCCCCGATTATTGCTGACTTAAGCATCGGAGTGTCTACCCTGAGTTCCACCTCGGGGCTTTGCAGGTCATCTCGGAGTGGAAGCGCGGACTGAAGAAGGACTTCTGGTTTGGTGCAATTACACATGGGAATTTTCACGGTGGTGACATTGTTGTCATCGGCCCTATCAAGTGGAAAATTCCGAGCAATGCTTTTTTGTTCCATGGGTTTCTTTGGTATTGTCCCTACAGTCCATTTTGCAATTGTGAATTGAAGTAATCCTCGACGAAATATTACGCTGGCATATGAATCCGCGATGGCTCTGTTCTATTTAACGGGAATGGGGTTTTATGTTAGCCGAATTCCAAAGAGGTGGAAGTTGGGTTGGTTCGACTTAGCCCTTGACCCTTTTAGTCTTTTTTATAGTGAATTTAGTTTAAGATTGAGTTTTTTCTTATTAAAACTTATTATTTTAATTAAACTTATTATTTTAAATGGCTTAAATGATGATTTTCAAGTTGATCTTATAATGATTATTTTTTAAGAATATAATAGAAGTAATATACAATAGTAAAATCTAATAAATATGTCCAAAAAAAAGATTTTTTTTAGTTAATCAGTTGGACCAATCAAGTGAACTGGTTCAATCTATTCAATTGGACTCAGCGGCCAAAACGGGTCAACCACTGAGTTGGACTCAAAAACATTGCATTTTTTATAATTAAGGAACCAAAAAAGTTTATAAAAAAGTTATGGAGTAAAAATTGTACAAAATTTTAAAGTTGAGGGACCAAAATTAGTATTTAACCTTTATTAATAATGGTTTAGACTTCAATTTAAATACATTGTGGTGACGTGGCATGAAATGTAGGGTGCAGTAGCCAAATTTATGGGGGTTTGAGCCCTGAGCAAAATACAAAAGGTTGTGATGTAAAACTAATTTTTTTATTATTTTTTAATATAATTTTTATGAGTTATTAAATAAATAAATATTTTTAATATTATAATTTTTTTTAAAAATAATTAATTATTTAAATAAAACAGAAAATAATATAAAATAATAAAATCTAATAAATATGTAAAACAAAATATTTTTTTAGTTGATCGGTTGGATTGGTTAAGTGAACCAATTCAACTAGTTGAACCAGACCGATAGCCAAAACGACTTAACCACCAGATAGGGCCAAAAAACATTGCTATCATCAATCCA